TATTATATAAAGAAAACCCTAAAGACACCACCAAAAAATGATTAGAACTAATAACTGAATTCAGCAAAGTTGCAGGATACAAAATTAATAAACAGAAATCTGTTACATTCTTATATACTAACAATGAACTAGAAGAAAGAGAAATCAGGAAAACAACTCCATTTACAATTGCATCAAAAAGAATAAAATACCTCGGAATAAACCTAACCAAGGAGATGAAAGACCTATAGTCTGAAAACTATAAGACTCTCATGAGAGGAATTAAAGAAGACATGAATAAATGAAAATCTACCTGCTTATGGATAGGAAGAATTAATATTGTCAAGATGGCCATCCCGCCCAAAGCAATTTACAGATTCAATGCAATCCCTAACAAAATACCAGCAGCATTCTTCAATGAACTAGAACAAACAGTTCTAAAATTCATATGGAACCACAAAAAACCCTGAATAGCCAAAGTAATCCTAAGAAAGAAGAACAAAGCTGGGGGGATTACACTCCCTGAGTTCAAGCTCTACTATAAAACTACAATAATCAAAACAGTTTGGTACTGGCACAAGAACAGACCCATAGATCAATAGAACAGAATAGAGAGCCCAGATATAAACCCACACACATACAGTCAATTAATATACAATAAAGGAGCCATGAATATACAATGGGGAAAAGACAGCCCTTCAACAACTGGTGCTGAGAAAAGTGGACAGCTACACGTAAGAGAATGAAACTGGATTACTGTCTAACCCTGTACACAAAAGTAAACTCGAAATGGACCAAAGGTCTGAATGTAAGTTATGAAAATAAAACTCTTGGAGGAAAACGTAGGCAAAAATCTCCTGAATGTAAGTATGAGCAACTTTTTCCTGGACACATCTCCTCGGGCAAGGGAAACAAAATAAAAAATGAACAAGAGGGACTACATCATACTAAAAAGCTTCTGCACAGCAAAGGACACCATCAAGAAAAAGGCAACCTACAGTATGGGAGAATATATTCATAAACAAGTCATCTGTAAGGGATTAATATCCAAAATATATAAAGAACTCATATGCCTCAACACCCAAAAAACAAATAACCTGATTAAAAAATGGGCAGAGAATCTGAACAGACATTTCTCCAAAGAAATACAGATGATCAACAGGCACATGAAAAGATGCTTTACATCACTAATTATCAGGGAAATGTAAATCAAAACCACAATGAGATATTACCTCACACCAGTTAAAATGACCACTATCCAAAAGACAAGAAATAACTAATGTTGGCCAGTATGGGGAGAAACAGCAACCCTCCTACACTGTTGGTAGGAATGTAAATTAGTACAACTGCTGTGGAAAGCAGTATGGAGGTTCCTCAAAATACTAAAAATAGAAACACCATTCAATCTAGTAATTCCACTTTTGGCAATTTGCCCAAAGAAAACAAAATCCCTGATTCAAAAAGACATATGCACTCCTATGTTTATGACTGCACTGTTTGCAATAGCCAAGATATGGAAGTAACCTAAATGTCAATCAGTAGATGAATGGATAAAGAAAATGAGGTACATGTATACAATGGAATATTATTCAGTCATAAAAAGAAAAGAAATCCTACCATTTGCAACAACATGGATGGATCTAGAGGGTATTATGCTCAGTGAAATAAGCCAGGCAGAGAAAGACAAATACCATATGATTTCACTTATTTGTGGAATATAAAAACAAAGCAAAACAGAAGGAACAAAACAGCAGTAGATTCACAAACACTGAGAAGTGACTAATGGTTACCAAAGGAAGTGGCTGGGGAGGGTGGGAGGAAGGGTGAGGGGGATAAAGAGGCACAATAATTCGCAATCACAATATAAGTTGGTCACAGGGACAGTAGTACAACATGGAGAATATAGTCAATGATTCTGTAACATCTTTCTACATTGATAAGAGTAACCACACTAGAGGGGGTGAGAATTTAATAGTATGGGTAACTGTTGAACTACTGTATTTTACATCTGAAACCAATATAAGATTGTATGTCAATGATACTTCAATAAAAATAAAATATTAAAAAAATTAAAAATTAAAAAAGGCAGGGGGGAAGGAATATCAAGAAAGAGACATGTAGCTAGCTGAATATTCTTCACAAGGGAGAACAAGATGTTATGAAAATTATATCAGAGAGATATGGCTGTAACTGTGTTGATTTTTACAACAAAGTCCTTAAATTATTTGGTGATTCTCCAGCAAGAGGAGAGGATATATGCACTTCCTCTCAAATCTGAGCTTTGTGACTGCTTCACTAAGAAAAAAACCACAAAAGTGATGCTCCACCAGTTTGCAGGCCCAGGCCTTAGAAACTGGCAGCTTCCTCTTCCTGTCTCTTGAGATGCTCACTCTTGGAACCCAGCTACCACATGTGCAGAGGCCCAGGCCACATGTAGGAGTCCCTGCTGAAAGTCAGCATCAACTACCAGACTTACAAGGAAGGACACCACCAGATAATACCAACCCCAGCTTACGCGTCTTTCTAGCAAGGCTCCAGACACAGTAGAGCAGAAGAAACCATCCCTGCCATGCCTTATCCAAATTCCTGACACACAGCCCATCCATGAGCATGACAATGACTGGTTTACACCACTGCGTTTTGGGGTGGTTTGTTACACAGCAATAGATAACTGGAGCAGATATCTTTAAGATATAAGGGATCATATAACATTTCTCACATGGAGATATCATAAATCAAATTATTTTTCTTAATAGAAAACCAAGACCTAGAAAACCATATTCAAACTCTGATGAGAGTCATGATCCTACCAGATTATCAAATAAAAAAAGAGAGACCTGATAGCGATTAAAATTTCTCATGACTAACAAAATACCAGAGTTCAATTTTCAAGTTCATTCATTAAACATTCATTTACAGAGCATCCACTAGTCTAGATGCCAGGCACCCAGCAGTGAATGGAACAGATAAAAATCACTGCCCTAACAACACTTACATTCGGTGATGGGAAAGAGACAACAAGACCAAGCGTGTTAAATGGCATTAAATGCTGAGGAGAAATACAAAGCAAGGAAGGAGGCTAAAGAATGTTGCTGGTAATGGTGATGATGGAGAGGGCTTGCCACATGGAGGTGAGCTTTGTGTCAAGACCTTAAAGAGGTGGGGAGCAAGCCATGTGGGTATAGGAGGAAAGAGTATTCCAGACAGCAAATAATAAGTACAAAGGCTTTGTGGCCAGTGTGGCTGGGGTTGACTGAATAAGCAAGAAAGTACCAGAAATATAAGGTCGGAGATGAAGTAAGTAAATTTTGGCAAAAACCCATCAGCACTGAAGTCAGAATTGGAAGAACCAAATTCAATCACAGCAGAAAATGTTTTTGTCTCTTTTGTTCACTGACTCATTGCCACCACCTGTAACAGTGCATTTACCTACTAGAACAAATGAAGTTGTGACACTTTACAGCTATTTGACTTTTAACAAATGATTCCAATATTTTGAGCCTCAGTTCTAATTTCTAAAAGAGAATAATAATCCCTCCTCACTTCATAGGGTCACAGTGAAGATCAAAATGGGGAAGTATTTTGCAAACTGTAGAGTACCACACATGGGTAAGATCTTTACATTATTACTGGAAAACTTAATAGCAATGATTACTGACAACAACAATGATTTCTCTACCTTGCCCCATTAACTTCAACCCCTGAATCATCTTTCTTTCCATCCTAAATTGGAGCAGGGCTAGCTTCCCTTCAGCACAAAGGAGTAAACTTTAGGCACTAAATGAGTGGCAGTTATTAAGATATGACAGCTACTCCTACCAACTTTTCCTTGAAACTCTCTAAGAAAAAAAAAGAGAGAGAGAGAGAAAATTTCATGTGAAGATTCTACCCTCTTTTGTAAAATCTGGTCTGCCTGCAAACCTATTTTTTTCCCTGTCAAAATGCAGGTACATCTAATACAGTAAGAACGCTTGAACAACTTCCCCACAGATCTTGTTCCTCATATACATCTACACCAGACTGTTTAAAGAAGGAAGGGAAAGGGGGAGCATGAGGAATACTCTCAGGATTGAAAGGGCTTTTTTTTTTTTAACAGGACAACTAATCCAATCATCTCAAACTGCTTCAATCCCTTCAGTCCCTACCTAACTCACTCCATCTGAAGACAGCTTCAGTTTTCTCATCTACAAAAGGGGTAATATCATCTTCTTAAGGATGCTTCAATTCTGGAATATGCACATAAAAGCATCCTGGCATATGCTTAGCACTCACAAATGTCGGGAAAATGTGAATATTCTTTATTCAGCAAACATTAAGTGAACAGCTACAATATGCCAGTCAGTGCTCTAGGCACTGTAAAAGGGGCATTAGCAAAAAGCCTGGTCCTTGATTTTTGGCTTCTAGTAATACCTCCTTCACAGAATAGCATCCTTTGGGATTCTGCAGCAGATAGCTATCACGTACTTCCTTTCCATCCCTTCCTTCAGCCCAAACGAACAGCCTCTTTCAAAGCCTCTTTGAAAGCGTAAGCAAGGACGTGGGAACAAGAGGGACTAGCCTGGGTTGGGTGAAGGCGGGTGCCCGGCGCCTCCTCCGAAAAAGAAATCAACAGAACCGCACAGACTCCAGACCAAGGTCAAGACGGGCTGGTCCCACTCGGGTGTGTCTCCGGACACCTCTGCCAGGATCCCAGGAAGGGGCCTCCCTCCCCTCCCCGGCCCCACCGCGGTCCCAGCCCGGCAGGGGGGTGCCAACCACAGGCGGCACTCTGGCCCGCGGGTGGAGGCTGGGAGCCCCTCGGGCACTCACACGTGTCCTCGCCTTTCTACCCCGTCGCCTCGGACAGAACCCGCAGCATCATCATCGCTGTTTCCAGGCTTCCTCTCCCGGCCCCGACCTCTCCGCCCGTCAGGCCCTGCCTGGGAGCTGCCTCACACCCACACCCTCTCTCTTCCCACAACGGCTGCAGCTCTCCACTCTCGGGCCCCGGGGACAGCCAGCGCTCCGCCGCACTCACTCACCTGCGAGCCTGGAGCTGGACCCTCCATCTCCCCAGCGGCTGCGGCCACTCCACGAAAAACGGCTGCAGGCCCCGGCCAGACAGCCTGGAGCCGCCTCTCCTCCCACTTCCTGCTCGCGGCCCCGCCTCCGCCTCAGCCCTGTCTATCGGCCTCAGAGAGCCAATCCCTGCCCTCCCCTTGGCTGGGGGCCGGACCTTCTCTAGCCCGGAGGCGAGTGGCCCTACCACCGCTCGGAGGCCGCGCCCCTGGCCCGCTCCGGGGCGTGCTTCCAGCCCCAGGTCAAAACTGCACTCACTGCTCATCCAAGCGGGGCTCCGCTGCCTCCTTCTGTCCTGATGCAGGTCCAAATTTGGACTATTATTCCAGCATCAACCACCATCTACTGAGTGCACATCCGGACTTGGCTACTTAATTAGTTTGCTGACCTTGTGAAAATCTCTTACTTTACCTTAGATTCCTCATTCGGAAAATGGGGAAAATAAAAGTACCTATTTCACAGAATTGTCAGGATAAAAGCATCCAGGACAATGTCGACATATAATAAGGAATCAATAAATGTTAACTGTTAAAACATTTACCACTCCCATTATTGTCTAACTCCATACACAAAAGTAAACTCGAAATGGATCGAAGATCTGAATCCAAGTCAAGAAAACATAAAACTCAGGGAAGAGAACATAGGCAAAAATATCTTGAACATAAGCATGAGCAATTTTTTCCTGGACACATCTCCTCAGGCAAGGGAAACAAAATAAAAAATGAACAAGAGGGACTACATCATACTAAAAAGCTTCTGCACAGCAAAGGACACCATCAAGAAAAAGGCAACCTACAGTATGGGAGAATATATTCATAAACAAGTCATCTGTAAGGGATTAATATCCAAAATATATAAAGAACTCATATGCCTCAACACCCAAAAAACAAATAACCTGATTAAAAAATGGATGGAGGACTGAACAGACATTTCTCCAAAGAAGAAATGCAGATGGCCAATAGGCACATGAAAAGATGTTCCACATCACTAATCATAAGGGAAATACAAATCAAAACCACAATGAGATATCACCTCACACAAGTTGAAATGGCCACTATCCACAAGACAAGAAATAAGAAGTGTTGGTGAGGATGTGGAGAAAATGAAACCCTCCTGCACTGTTGGTAGGAATGTAAATTGGCGCAGCCACTGTGGAAAGCAGTATGGAGGTTCCTCAAAAAACTAAAACTAAAAATATCATTTGATTCAATAATTCCACTTCTAGCAATTTACCCAAAGAAAATAAAATACCTGATTTGAAAAGATATATGCACTCCTATGTTTATGACTGCACTATTTGCAATAGCCAAGAAATAGAAGCAACCTAAGTGTCCATCAGTAATGAATGGATAAAGAAAATGAGGTATATATGCACAATGGAATATTATTCAGCCATCAAAAAAGAAATCCTGCCATTCACAACAACATAGATGGACCTAGGGTATTATGCTCAGTGAAATAAGCCAGGCAGAGAAAGACAAATACCATATGATTTCACTTATTTTTGGAATATAAAAGCAAAGCAAAACCAAATGAACAAGACAGCAGTAGACCATAGGCACTGAGAAGTGACTGGTGGTTACCATTGGGGAGAAGTTGTGGTCAGTGACTGAGAAGGGTGAGGGGGATAAAGGGGCACAAAAACTCTCAATCATAATGTAAGCTGGTCACAGAGACAGTAGTACAGCATGGAAAATATAGTCAATGATTCTGTAACATCTTTTTACATTGATAGATAATAACCACACTAGAGGGGGTGAGGATTTAATAATATGGGTAACTTTGTTGTATGTATTTGAAACCAATATAAGATTGTATATCAATAGTACTTCAATAAAAAAAAATTGCCACTATTAACTCTGCAATGTTAGGCAAGTCACTTCCACCATCTGGGTCTCTGTTTCCTCATACAAAACAGGAAATATATGAGTTCCACCGCTCAGGCTGGAGGATTGGGCAAAAGCCCCCATTTGCACCCTTTTGTGAGCTGTGCTAAAGGAGCTGGCATTAAGTTCTGTTCAACTTGAAGGACAGATATGAAACTGGGGGAAAAAGTGATGATTTCTTGCTCTTGGGGAGCTCCAAAGGGCCACTGAGGCTTTCCTACCTCAGCCCCCAGAAAACACTGGACCCTTTCTCTAGCCTAGCACTTAACACCATCTTTGTAAGTATTCCTTAATGTTGCCTCACCAAACCAGAATAAGACCTTTAAAAGTTAAATCTGAAGAGAACTGAAAATATTATGACTCTCTTATTCTATACAAATAGTTCTAAATCACAACTGTCTAGAAAGCCAACAAAGTGCTGGTTTTTCCCATGATAAATACTATAATACAATATAATTGTAAAAAATGTTAATTCTTATTCTTATTATCATTATTTATTATTATTACTATAGTGCCCTGCCTGTTGGGTACAACAGCCCTGAATTCCCCCAGAAACCTGACTCCACTGAGGTGGGACCATGTTGTATTCCTCTCTTAACTCCCAGTGCCTGGCACAGCATGAGGACATAGAAAATGCTTAGTACAATTTTATTGAGTGAATGAGTGGATGAATAGGTGTGTTATCAACGTCTATGATATAAGGAAGGATGAATTGAGTGACAAATAGAAGTATAAGGAAGTTCCTACAAGAACCTGAGGAGCAAGCAACTAATTTGGATAGGCTAGGATGAGACACGGGGCAAGGCCTCACAGGGGAGAGAGCCTTGGGGTATGGTCATTTTGCTAAACTAACAACAGCTCTGTTTATTTATTGATCACCTGCTATATTGGCACCTGTGACAGTGTTTTTGCATATATTATGTCTAATACATAAGATGGGTGTTATTTTCCCCATCTCCCAGAAGTAAAAGCTGTGGCTCCTGCAGATTTCATAAGCCCCAAGCCACTCAGCTGGTAACTGGTAAAGAGAGGATTCAAACCCATTCTCTTACTGCTTTGGCTGAAGTGTTTGGTTGTTTCAAGGTCCAAATTAGAAGATGTTTTTGAACTTGAGAGAGACTTCAAATCTGTTATTTCAAAGTTTTTGCATTGATATCCCAACACATTGGAAAACTCTGGAACAAAGAAATCCTAACACTCCTTAACAAGGCTCCTGCTTCCTGCTTATTTGTTTTATGCCTCCATTGAGCTATTTCAGATTAGGATAAGCATAAACATAACTAATGGCTACACGAAAGCAAGCTCAGGGAAGCCCAGGGTGCCGCCCTTAACTGTCATCTTTGAGAATGCCTTTGGCTTGAGCCATACCACAGTAGGATAGCATGATGGATGGGCACATGCTCCTACTGAGCAGACTGCCTGGGCCTGAATCCCACCTCCAGCACCGAAGAGCTGTACAATCTTGGCCCCGTTGCCCAATCTCTTTGTGCTTGAGTTTCCTCATCTCTAAAAATGGGATCCATCCAACATCCATGGTTGCGCCCCTCACCAGGCATTGCGCAGCCTCTGGAGAGGGGTAGAGCCAATAAGAAGTGCTGTCTGGACAAACGAACAAATACCAAAGTGTAGCCCAGGTAATGGCTCACAAAAGGAAACCAAAGGCAGTGCAGCCCCATAAGTTGCTCTAAGCAGAGCTCACTTGACGACATTCAGCAATTCTTGGCTCTGAAACAAAATTCCACATTAGGGTTTGCTAATCCCACTGTCACACTACAGGAGGCAACTGACTTTGTTCTGACTGAACTTCTGACCCTGGCCTCGTTTCCTCAGTGGCCCTGAAAAGGATGAGTGTCTTCTTGAAACAGGGTCTCATGGTTGTAATTATTTCAATGTTGGTATAAAAATGACATTTGGAATGTCAAAAAAGGCCCACACATCTGTCAGTGCAGGACTTCTCACAGCCACCAGGTAGGAAACTCCAGTGCTCTCTGGTCCCAAGCCAGCAGGGCTGCAGTGGGGGTCAGTGCTCACTGGGAGCACTTTAGGCAAAAAATGCTTGAGATCCTAACATGTGTACAGGCTAAAACATATGGGTACATATGGGTACAGTGGTGAATGGTACAGTTTATGCTCTTCTGGAGTTCAAGTCTTTAGGGAGTACAAATACTGATAGAAATAGAGTTTGGGTTGTTGTGGGGTTTTTTTGAAGTAGAGACAATGAAAAGAGTAAATGAGGAAAAGTGTCAAGAGTACGTAACACAAGGACTTTAGCCTGAAGGGATACAGTAGGGTAGAGGGTTCTTTTCATAAATTCATAAAACCAGCTCAAAATGACTTTTCCAACCTCCTCTATTTATTTATAAGTGAAACGGGGGAGGGCAGTGACTGGCCCAAGATCACTCTGCAAGTTAGTGGTGAAAATAAGATTAGGCAACACTTCTGCCCAGCTCTCTAGCTGTTTCACCAACCCCCAAGCATCTTTAGCTTTCTGACTATAACCAAGCGCACAGATTCTCAGAGCTGGAGGGGTTGTACCATGGAGCAGGGATCACTTAGAAGTCTTGCTTGACCACTTGTCTTCTATCTATGAAAAAGCTTCATGGTTCAGAAGCAAAAATGACTCTGTCTTCATTTTATATACAAATCATCAAGATCTGGTAATGAGGTACCCTAAGAACCACAGTTAATATGGTATGGGTTGGGAGGCCATGCTGTACATCTTGTATTTTACTTGCTAGTTTAATGATACTCATGTGTGTGTGTGTGTGCGTGTGTGTGTGTGACAGAAATTATGAGAGAGAGAGAGAGAGGAAGAGAGAGAAAGTAAAGCAGGAAGTGTTTGTACTATTTTTTGCTGGTTGCTATTTTGAGTCTTCATCACCTGCTTGCCGTCCCACATTTAAATACCTACTCTGATGGACAATTTTTCAGATGTGTCCAAATTGTGACAGCAACACTCAGGATTGGGTATAAATCTACCTTGGCTATAATATACACACCCATCTCCCCTTTACATATCCATCTCCATGCCCCTAGAAGACACTTAAATATAATTTCTCAGGAGGGCCTTCCTGGACTTCTTAGGATCCCTTGCTAAGTGCCCCATAGCACCTGTAATTCTTCTAAAAGCATCTATGGAACATTCTTGAATTTATGTTTTGAGCATCTATCTTCTCTGCACACTATAAG